GACATTGATTAGCAGAAATGGACCCTTCCGTCTGCCACAGATCACACAGCTTTCTGAGAGCCCTGAAGCCTTCTTTTCTTCAGTGCATATATATACATGGTCTGGTCATATTGAATAATGAATAATAGTATTGAATAGCTAAGTAATAAAATTATTTTCTATTGCCCTATAAATGTTTCACTGGGAAACTCTTCAAAGGTGTACAGGTTTAGACCATATATTGAAATGTGTGCTTCCTAAGTAACATGACTCACATGTATACACCATAGCCCACAAGTGTAGCCATCTAGCTGTTTTTCATGGTCAATGGTGACAAACTTGCACCCAATTTCTTTTCTTCTGGAGAAGTTGCTGAAAATATAGTACATTACAAAAAAAAATTATACCTCTCAACCTCATCATGATATTGAATTGCCTGCACCTTGCTCATATAATTAACATAATTTATGTAAACCCAGGGACAGATTGAGACTGTCTTCAGGGTCTTCTGGAAGCAGTCTGAGCTTACATGTGGGTATTTAATTTTTTTCTGTTGGAAGACAGTCAAAAATGGACAATGGACCAAGAAAGATAATTTGGAAGACTGTCAGAAAATATCTCTAGATCTGCCCCTGTAAACCTATTATTCATACAATACAATATGACATGTCTTTTAACTTATTTTAATACACAAATGTAGAATTTTTCTTGTAAAACAGGATAATTATATAGATATGTTATTGCCCAATATCTTATAGCAGAATTACAATTATTGCAGAGATAAACTGCCTACAATAGTAAAAACAACCCAAATAGAAAATTTAGATCTAAGAGAGTCCCATATAAGGGTTGAATACTTACCAAGACAGAGTAGTGTCCTTGTCTAATGCGAACTCCCACTATCACATCATATTCTGAGAGGTCTTTCTATATCACAAACAAACAAAAAAAATTAAAAATAGAAGCAAGTGGAATTTAATTCAAATTAATCTATTCATTGCAGTTTGGGATACTAGGAAACAATTCCTAACTGAATGCCACAATGCCTTTATGAAAAAAAAAGTATTGAGAATAATGATGGTCTTTTGTAACATTAATATGAAAGGTAACCTTTTTTTAAACTATTACATATATATTAATGCATTTTTAATAGTCTCTGTGCATTTAAAAGTGGTTAAAATAAAATTCAATGTTTTCATTATATTATTTGAGGTTAAGTTTATAACACCAAACACAGTGCAATCACCTTTAAGACATAATGAAAAGTGTCAAAATGAATATTTATGTTCAGTGGCTAAAAATAATTGAAAATTCTATCTTCAAGGCAATATCTTCAAGGTTGTTAAGGATCAGGTTGAAGTCTTCTAATACATTTTGTTTTGTCCCAAATTATAAAGCAGTCATCAAGGCAATGTTTCCATGTGTTTTCTAATTGATTCCTAAATTCGAATCCAAAACATTTTTCGCATTTTTTGTACAAGTCTTTTTCGATGTACCCTAGGACAAGTGTAATATAAGTGGGGGCTACTTTTGTACCCATTGCAGTTCCTATTTTTTGGCGATAATGTTTGCCATTGAAGTAGAATATATTGTTTGTCAAGATGAATTTAAGTCCTTCTGTAATGAGGGTATTTTGGATACATTTTGGAATATGTGATGGGTATCTTTCTATCCAGTAGCTGATTGCCTCAATGTCCAAATCATGAGGGATGTTTGAGTACATGTTGGTTATATCGAAGGAGACTAGTATTGCATTTTTGATATTTTTTGGCAAGTTATTAAGACAGTCCACCATGTCCCTTATGTAGCTTTTTACTTCTTTGGTAAAGGGTTTTAATAAAATGTCTAGAAAATTGCTAAGTCTGTGAGTTTCACATGCTGGCCCTGCTATAATTGGACGCTTTAACGATTTGGGCAATATTGTCCATACAGCTGTAGCTGACTTAAATGTTATTTTTGTTAAAAATCTTGTGTAATAAATAACCTGCTGGAAAATGGGATTTAATAAGCTTTAAAAATACTTTACTGATGTTAGTCTGTACATTTCTACTAAATGGTGGATTGAACCATAGGATATTTCTTTTGCGAGTTTTTTCAGGATTTTGTAGCAATGTTTGTATAATGGAGTTTGTGGTTGAAACTGGCTGACTCGAGTGCCTCCTGGTACTCCCTCTTTGATGATTCAAACATGTTTTCATCACTAGAAATTGTGGATAGTCTAGTGTTTATTGAGTTTGGTATGGCATTGATGACAGTAGTGCTGCATTAGGTTTTTTGAATGTATGGTCCGAAGGATCTGTCTTTCAGGTTGAAGGTCACATCTAGGAAGTTAACGGAGTTGAGCCAGATGCTGGTTGTGACCTTTAATCCGAGCTGCTTCATGGTGGAGGTTAAATCCTTGACTATCTTTGTAGCGGACCACGAGTAAATGAAGAAACACTGTTGGATGATACTGCTGTTTATTCACGCAGTGTGAACAGAACTGAACAGAATCTGAACAGAAACTGAACTGAAACTGGTGAAAACTATAAAAAGAAAAGAAAAAGAAAAAATAATAATAACAATACAGTTAAATGTTGAGATAAACTAAATATACTAAATAACTTAATTCATGTGATCTTGACAAATAAAAAATCGATCTTTACATATGTGTAAATTATTTATTATTTAATTTTAAACACTTACACTAAAACAATATCCAGACTCGTTTTCTCCGCTGCCAACTGGCTGCTCAGACACGGCCATTACAATCTGAGCTGGTACTGTAATTTTATTTGATAACATAAATATACATGTGCATGTTGGTCATGAAAATGCCACACCCATACTAACATAGACTTTAATAAACACGATGCTCATAACTTATGTTACTGATTAAACTTAAGTAAACTTTTGTAAACTACACAAAATACCTCTGTATAAGTGAATTACACTTTATTAAACACATTAATTTTACACAATCTACACGTAATATCGTAACATACCTCCACTCTGCCAGTAATGTGCCATGAAATTCGAACGGCTCTTAAATTTCGAACGATCTTAAAATCGGCCGTCTGGAGTTTTTTCTGGACCATGAATTTCGGCCAGTAAGCAATTTTGCGCGATCTTGATTTCGTGAATTTCGTACACCTTAAAATCGGCCACCGGGCTATTTTCGCGCTCATAAAGATCTAACAGTCGGCAATGTTGCCCTAGCGTACCTTTCCCCGAGTACTACGTGTGCGGCCCAAGGTGCAAGATAACGATCGGTACAGTTAGTTTAGGACGCTTAACAACATCGTCATATCCATTCATTCAGATAACAGGAGAATCTATTAAGAGTTGTACTGTGGGGCTGTTGTTTCTTTACCGCAGTACTCGGTGTGAGATAGCAATCGGTAGTTTTGCTGAGGCGCACAATAGCATTGTTAACAGTAGAGACTTCAATAACAGAACAAAAGAAGCAATATTAAGAGCTGCAATAAAGATAACCATTATTGCTTTCTTGTCTCGCTCAGATCGTTCACGATCTCCCACTGACGATCTTCCGCTAATGAAGTCCCTTGAAATGTACAAATGAAATGAAAAGTATTTTAAAAAATTATAAATTCCAATGGGGAGGGAGGGTTAAAAACAATCGAGAAAGATCTCCGACTGACGATCTTCCGCAAACGAAAGCCACTGAACGAGTATGAGCTTTCTCGTTTCGCTCGGATTGCAAACGATCTCCCGCTGACAATACGAAAATTGCGTTCTCATCTTGCCCTTTGGCTTACGAAGTCTCTTTAACAAATATGAAAATTTGCCTCCTGTCTCTCTCGGATTGCGAACGATCTCTCGCTGAAAATTTGAAAATTGCCTTTTTGTCGATCAGGTTTCCCAGATAGCATGTCGCCGGTGGGCCTACATTGGCCTGACCATCGGTCCAACGTTGGCCCACCAGCGACATACAACTTGAGTGGCCCAACGTCGGCCCACCAGCGACAGTAGCTGGTGGGCCGACGTAGGTCCACCGCTTTTATTTATTTTTTATTTTCTTTATTATTCGTTAATTAATTGATTTATAATTTTTTAAATAATTATATCATCATTATTATTGTCATATATAATGGACAAAACACAATGTAATATTTCAAGAGTGTTTATTCTTCTGTAATATTTCTTCCTTAAAATACAACAAGGCAAGTTATAATGGACCTTCAGATAAATACTTTAAAAAAACCCATTTAACTGTCGAAAACATATGCATATACCAGTCGGTCCATTCAGCAGTACAGGGAAATAAATTTTCTTATATTTCTAAAGCCATACCAGTCTAATGCAGTCTTTACTTGCAGCAAATAACACTATGTAGGAACAATATTGTTCATATCACAAAATGTTCAAACAACAACATAAAAAATTCTACGTTAACTCTATTCAGTACTCTAACTGCAACATATCTGTTTGAAAGAACCAAGCATAAGTGCTTTAATTTGTAGTCAGAACAATTAAACAGTCAAAAACGTCATATACATGTTCATGTAGATCCAAGCACAGTTAGTCTATGTCTTTGGCAAATATCCAATAACCTTAATTAATAGTCAATCTTGACTAAGGTATCCAAATTTAATTTCTCAATAAGCATGTAACATGATACATACTTTCAACTCAGGACCGAAAAAAAAAACATCAGTCTGAATCCGAGGATGATGATACAATTGCCTCTTGCAAAGCCTGGACTCTTTCTTTTTCTGAAAACAACAGATTGAAGTGATTACAAGTAGAAAGTAATTGTCCATCATGTCCCTATTAAACTGAAGTGTTTACATGTAAATTCAACATAAGTAAAGGGATTGGCATGGAGATGGACATCACCAGAATTAGAATAAACTGACCTATTAAAGAAACCAACTGATACATGTAGTGCAAACATGGAAAAGAATCTTATTTTTGTATTAAAACAGTAAATTTCAATTTTTAATATTTGTAAAAAGAGACAGAGGAGAATAAATACGCGTTTGATTAAATACAAGGATGTAATACATACCAATCTTTTTCAACAATCTTCGCTGCCTTCCCCCCTCCCTGTCACTGGCATTTTTCAACCATGTCTTCATGATTCTTTCTGCGTCACTTTCCTTGATACCATTTTTTTTGGCAGCATCTGTTAAAGTTAAAACATTTTTAAATATATTTCAGTTTTATTACAATCAAATTAAGGCGTGAGAGGTGATAGAGTGGGAAAATATTACATCATGAAAAATTATTTTGACTCACCAGCAGACACATACTTACCATGCAGGACTCTGGCAATTCTGCTTTTGCACAGACCATGTTTTTCTTTGCTGCCATCCCCTCTTGCACGGCCCTTCCAGTTGAATAAAGTTGCCATAGGAGATGTCATCAGCGCTTCCATCATCCTATATATGGTGTTTTCCTGCCCTGTCCCCCCAAGAGTTGTCAGGTGACGGACCTACAACAAGTGACATTCAGACAGTCTAATGCAATTTTTTTTAATGCAATTTAATGGAAAGAATTAAATTACCCTTTAACAGCACTATTCCTTATTTAGTTATACTACTTTGGTCTGTACCACAGGTTAAAAATCTCCTACTGGAATAATCAAAATTACATTCCTAACCATTAATTTATACTAAAAACCAAATTAGTTGTTATAATTAAAGGAAGTTGACAAAAAAAAAAAAAAAAGAATAGTTATGGTATCAATATTATTTCCAACATTCAGCTCCCAATCATAAAGTCAACTGTCAAATAAAAGATGATCTTTTAAATGGGAAATATGTTTGTAATGTCATCTTATCAAACACATAGTTTTATATAGAACATAACTGACAAGAGCTTTGGATTTGGTCCCTGCATTATCCAATATTCAACTTCAAAATAAGGGTAAAATTAGAAAGACATTGGACAGCTGACAATTTAGAAACATGTAAAACTTGCTAGCTGACATTTACTTCAAAATAAACAACTGGCAACAACAAATTAATGTTTGTCACACATACCTCTCAGCTGATCTGTGGGTCAATCCAGAAGAACGGTGCTAGGTGCACTGCAAGAGAAGTAGCACATACAGTAAATTTTGCCATAATAATAATAATAATATGATTACAATAAATCTTCATCAAGTTGGAGAATGCGTTTCACTTAAATTTAATTAAAGTTACAAATCAAATTAAATTATATTATAAAAATATTTCACAAAAAAGTCATTGCTCTCTTCTTTGCATATATATAAACTTATTTTACATTTCCTTAGGGGTTAACGGCCTGCTATGGAGTGTCTGAATTGATGATATTGGTCTTTCTCTTTCTACTGGTACACCATCACTGATACACAGAAAAAGGTCAAATTTAAAGCAAAAATTATCATCCAAATTTCGTTCTAGACAGTGTTGGTAATTGAATTTTTTTTTACCAATGGAAAGGTGATTATGCAGTCTTCAATTAAAGCAATTGCATATATTTGACAAATTATCAAGTCTCAAATGGAGTTAACTAACCTCATGCTGCCATCCTCCAGAGAGAGAGAGCTAGAAGATTTCTTCCCATTCTTTTCTAAATTCTGTATGCCACTGTATATGATTGAAAAAACAAAGAAAAATGAAAAAGAACTAACAAATATATGAATATTTTCACAATAACAGAAACTGGCATGCAACCTTTAAGTGAACAATTCAATTGCAGTACATTTACCACAAGTCTAACCTCATGCTGCTATCCTCTACCATCCTTGGAGCAGGAGGTGGAGATGGAAATGGCGTAGGGAGAGAAGAGGGCTTCCTCCCCTTTTTACTCAATGGCTGTATGTCACTGTACATAATAAAAGAGCAAATGAATAATAATTTAGAAACATAATTCTTTTCCTTTCATAGCAAATAACATTTAAATACCACTCAAATACCATTTACCTTAGCAAAGACATACAGAGCATTAAAATATATATTAAGTTTTTAGTATGCACATGAGTTGGCCTTTATCCCCCCCCCCCCCACACACACTCACACACCAAGATATCCTTTTTATTACTTAAAAATAGAATTAACCTGTCATCAGATTCCTCTTCTGCAAGTCTGGGTGGCAGGTGTCTCCTTTTGTGCAAAAAAAGCATTTAATACAGTGGTATATATTACTATAATCATGATGATTATATATATTAAGAGTGTGAGTGATGAAACCATGATAAACAAAGGTATGAAAAATGGAAATTTTACATTTTTATAAACATGCAATTACAATTAATATAAGACACTTTATGATGAAATAATAAAGTATTTTCGAAATTTAACAC